CACTAGGTCCATGGATAGGTGGAATAGGTTTATAAGGTTTCTTGAATTTGCGGGAAATGTCAAATAGGGAATTGTCCTCTATAGCTAGGTTATTTAGGAAATTGGTCCATTTTTGGTTTTTGAAGTTCTTGATTCTTCTGTTGATTTCTTTTTGCATAGAGTTTAGTTCGTGTTTGAGTTGTGGATCCCTGGTGGTTTGCCATCTTTTACGGATCCGGTTTTTCTCTTTAATCCTATTTCTTATATCGGCAGGCAGGGGAAGGAAAGGCTTGTTCACATAAAAAGTATTGGTGGCTTCCTTTAAAGCAGAATTGATGCTGTTGGTAAATTTTGAGACTTCGTGTTCTAAATCTTCTTTGTTGTTGATGCATGGGTTACCTTGTATGGAGTTATTCAGAATTTCAGAGTATTTGATCCAATTTGTAACTCCTATACTTCTGTCAAGTGAGGGGAGGTATTTATTAATGGGGATTTCAAATACAATGGGGTTGTGGTCGGAAGACAGGGCTGAAATTACAGAGATATTGCATCTGTTAGTAATGTTATTTGAGATGAAGAAGTCAATTGTGGTGGCGCTATTGTACCCGTAATGGGTGGGCTCGTCTGGAGCATGAATGTTATAATTATTTGATTGAATGAGTTTAAATATGTCATTTCCTTTTTTGTTAGCAGGTCCTCGGTTCCAGCACAGGGGTGTTTGGCGTTGAAGTCCCCTCCGACAATGGTAGAAGTATTAGAATTAAGGAGGTGAATCAATTCTTGTGCGCTGGGATTATTATTTGGTGGGATGTATATATTCGAAATTTTGAATTTTTTATGTTCTATTACAATTTCTATTGTGTTACTTTCGAAAGTGGTGCTGGGATTAGGAATTTGAGCGTGTTTTATATGCTCCTTTTAACAAATGTGATGATGCCACCGCCTCTTCCTTCCTGTCTCACGATCCGTACGGTAGGTGTTATAATTAGCATAAAGTACTTTGAGTGCTGGTTTAAGGTGAGTCTCTTGTATGAGTATTACGTCAGGTTCAATTTCAATAATGAGGTTGGATAATTCATCTTTTTTATGGTAAAGACCGTTAGCGTTCCAAGAGAGGATTTTTATGTTGCATCTGTTCTTGAATTTATTAGAATTAAAGATGATTTCCTATTTTTTCAATGATTTCGACTACTGCGATTATTTTATCAAGAGGTGATTTCTTGGTTTTAATGTTTTTGAGTCCTTGTATCACTATTGTCCAGATTGTTTTTAGCGAAGAGAAGTCAAAGAGGTCTGACAGGGAGGATTCTGCGGTGCTGGTAGTTTCTTCTGTTAGATTTTCGTTTTGAATGGAGGTTTGAGCGAGATTTTCGTTACTGTTTGATGTCAGCGGAGGAAAGTCTTGTCTTCTGTTAGTCCAGGGATTGGTTGCTGGTGGAGGACTGGGTTGGAACTGAACTTGTTTGTTTTTTGGTCTGGCCGGGCAATTTGAAAAGTTGGCTGGGTGAGGACCTTTGCAGTGATAACATATGGCTGGCTGGTCGCGACTACGGGTGCATTCTATAGGTTTGTGATTGCCTCCGCAACGGACGCATACCCAGTCTCTGGTGCAGAGCAGGGAACTGTGAAAAACTCCCTGGCATCTATAGCATTGTGGAGGGCCAGGTTTCTTGCGTAATGATTCTATTGTTACGTTCATATAACCTATGCGTTTGATTTTGAATACTTCCTTATTTTCTTCTGATTTTGGTATATGTACTAAGAAAAGCGGCATTGGTTTATTTTCTTTTCTGTTTCTTAATAGTGTAATAAAGTTAACCTTAAATCCTTTGTCAAGAAGTTCTTGAGTGATGGTTTGGGGATCTGTGGTGATGGGTAAGCCTCTTATTATGACTTTTAAAACTTTATCTTCGGGCAATAAGTAGGTGTGGGCTTTAAGCTTTGTTTCTTCTGCAACTATTTTGCGAATGAATCGATGTGAGTCAGAGTCTGCAGGCTGTATTTCAAGGCGGCGTCCTTTTAAGGTGCCAGTTATCTCTTTTCCGGTTTGCTTGTTTAAGTTTTTTAAGAATTCATCCGCTTTTGGTACGTCATCTACGACAATAATTGGCACTTTATCAATTCTGCTTGTTTTGGGGCTGGAGTTTGGTTTTCTATTTGCGGGAATGGTGTCACTTTTGTTTGGTTGGTCTTTTGGGGTGGTAGTGAGCTGAGTGGCTGATTCATCTTCGTTGTCCAAATGCATGTCGTCTATTTGGTTCTCTAATTGTTTATATCGATTGCTGGTTTTGAGGGAAGGCTCCTCATCGGAGTCAGAATCCGTTTGTCTATGGCGCAATTTTCTTTTTCTTTGAAACCACTAGTGGATTGAAGTATGTCGCAGAAGTTTTTAATCTCTTCAAATTGTTTAGCGAGCTTTTCGTTAGAGGTTTGTAATTCGTTTATTTTTGCATTGGCCATCTCGTTTTCCTGCATACGCAGTTGATTAATGGCTTTTACAAGGAGAAAGTTTAGTTCTTTTTGATCACTAGCGGACATAATCACATTTGGGTCGTTACGGATATCTTGGATATCTTCCACCAAGGATCTGGTAGTTTCGACGTCATTGGATAAAGTAATTTTGTGACTTAATATTTGGAGAACGTTGGGTTCATCATTGAGATGTCTCATGTGAGGATTTTCTGAGTTTGGAGGTGAATTTTCCATGTTTATGTTATTATTAGTTACAGTTATGTTTGTTGTGTCATATTGATTAATCATGTGAGGCAAATAAGTTGGAAAAAGGCCTAACTAGAGGCCGTACCCGAAGGTACCCTTATCAGCACGGTGAATAAAGAAAATCAGAAGAAAGAATAAAATACGACCTGTTTTATCCAGCGAAGGGTGCAGCAGTGGAGTTAAGGCGACGCTTTTGCGAGGCGAAAGCCAAAGAAGAAACAACCCAGAGCCCGTGAGGCGAGGTCGATGAACTCGGTACAGTAGCGGGGGTGGTAGCAACGCAAGGAAACGGAGAGCGAAGCGATAAGACGTCTATCTCGAACGCTGTCCCACCTGAATTTTGCTAATATGCTTTTTCATGAGAATTGTTTTTTAAATGCAGTTTTGAGCTGGATTACGCACAAAGAAAATTTATTTATTATTTTTTAGTTATATGGTTAAGGTTTTGAATTCAAATAACCTACTGATCTTATTAATAGTTTATTTGTATTTGAATTTAAAACTTTTAAAAGCAACGTAATTGTTTTTTTACAAGAAAGGTGTTTATAATGGAGACAGCATCTATGCACTTTTTCGTTTATTTCCACTTAGGAAGAGTCTGTTGTGTAAATTTTCATAATAGCGCATTTAAATTTTATACAAATAAAGGAATAAAAAAAAAATTAACCAAATGAAAACATTCAGTAAACATTTAAGGGTGTCGGATACCTATTCTTTTTACGAGTAGTATAACTAAAATTATATTTTTTATTCCATTATGCGCTATTTCTATTGAAACGCTTTTCGGGATCTTGGATCGTAATCTTGCTTACTGGTACCTACTACTACAAAGAGTACAAACCAGTAATAAAATAAGAAAAATTAACATTAACAAAAATAGAGAAATAAAAAAAGGCGTATAATTTTTTTATGTACACCGTACCCGAAGGCGAAAAGACAAATAATGACAAGTCATTCAAAAGTTAAATAAAAAATTAAATCCGTATAGAGCAGAGTTTATGAAAGCCACGAGCGGGGATAGAACTCTGGCGACCTAGAAGTCTCAGAATTATTCCCGCGCTCGTTACCCACGGGTCTGCGGTTTCTCCGGTAGGTTACGCTCACTTTTTTTTTTGGTACCACGACGCTCAGATACAAATTGTAAAAGGCGATGAACCAAAAGTCGCCAAGCACTACATTCTGTAACCCTACCTCTTTCTCTTTTAACCAATCGGAGCAAACAGCAGAAGAAACGGTCTGTAGGCTTTGTGAATAAACGTTTCACCTCGGATCAAATTGCAAGGTGAGAGAGAAACCACTTTACATACGATACGTTTGCTGTCACCGCTCGGAATGGTGAATCAGATCACAAATCAAAATACCGGTTTCTATCCGCCACACTAACGTGTGAAAGCGCCACCTATAGGTGAATTGAATTGCGAATTGTTTACATTTTTACGTCTCTTTAAAGCGTAAACTCAAGAGAAAAAATTGAAGGTCAAGTATTTTTTAGACGCTTTTTCATTTAATAAAAAGTTTATAAAATTTTTTATTTCCTTTCCATAAAAATAAATCAGTGCAGCGACAGTGCAGCAAAAAAAGAATTGAAGGTCACATATTTGCTTAGACGCTTTTTCATTCAAGTGTCTAAATAAGAACGTAACCTTTAATTTGGCTTTCCAAAAATTAATGCTATCATAAAAAAAGGAGTTGCTATGGAGCTTGCCATCCGTTAGCTCTCAACTCTTTTGTCGGTGACACCGAATTTGTCGGTGTCACCGACAGGGTCGAATTTGGCCCTTTTTTCACATTTATGGTCTTGTTATGATTAAATGTAACAAATGTGTTTATACCAATAATTTTAGAAAAGATAAATTTTCGGAAGGGCAAACTATTTTGTTGTCCAGAAAACTGCTATTTTCTGTATGATTAATTATTGGATAAAATCGTAATTGAAAGTTACAATAGGTGAATTTGTAAATTTATTGAAGAAATTTCGATAATTCTTTCTTAAAAGTATAATGACAAATTCGTTATTAATTACGGTGTGGATTACCCGTTCGTACCTAGCAAGTTGTCTATAATGCAGCAAGATACTAGATATCTAGATGGCCTTGTAATGCAGACAGAAGGTGAGAAAACGCTGATCTTGTAAAACGTTTCTAGGGTAATAAGGAGGCGGTTAGTTTTTGCACTCAGAAGCTGCTAGGTTGGGCGTCTAGACGCTTCAGTTAGTATCTGCATCTCCTAGTGGTCGAAACAGAAATCCAATCAAAAATCAGGATCGAATTAGTGCAAACTGAAGTGAAATGAGCTAATGTTTAGTTTGTGTTCTGCAGAGAAGATTGAGATGGTGTGAGAGAAAGTTAATGCCTGAAGATTCATCTTGGGCTTCCTGCTTTTCCTTCCAGTGGGAATGGCATATGATACTAGTTTGTGAAACTTCGTTTGCAACTACTTGCCGCTGATCGACGAATAGCACTGCGAAGATACAGAAGAAGCTAAACAGCTGAGTTTGAAATCATTTGTATATAATACAAATCATGGAATCTTACTTCATCTCCTGGAATTGCACCAATTTTTCAGGTACGTTTTAAGTTATTTTGGAAGCATATTTCGTCCGTTAATCAACGTTATATGCCTTTAGTACATGGGGATTTTTAACGGTTTCTGAAAATATCGCAATCAGTTAAAAATTTAATACACTTATGAATGTTTTTTTAAGTGAATTTGTACTTGTTTAATTTATATTAAAAGCCTCGAAGAATATTATGGGAAAATGTACGTGTTACAGGTTGAAATAGGGATTTTTAACATTTTCAGAAAATATTGCAATCAGTTAAAAATTTAATACCCATTTGAATGTTTATTTTAAGTGAATTTTGTACTTGTTTAATTTATATTTAAAGCCTCGAAGAATATTATGGGAGAATATACATTTTACAGGTGTAATTAGTTATATTGCATTTCATGTTTTGTTTTCATTTTCAAATTAACATTGCTGACTTTTTTTTTGCATAAAAAAATGTTTAATATTTCTGCTTTAGTTTGTAATGATGATATATACATGTTACAGAAATTGTAAATCTTGCATTTAAGAAATTTAAACAGCGAAATCTCTGTTACCTGTCATAAATGTCTTGTCCAAGCAGCACAGTTTTTTGGATCTGTCATGAAACCCTGTATTTAAACAGTATTTATTAAATAAATTTATATAATTATTTACTTTAGTCTCTCTTTTCATAAACTTACATTCACTAAGATGACATTTGCATTATTAAAAAAGTAAGACAGGAAAATATTGAAAAGTATAAGCTAATATATACCGAGCAACAAAAAATCTCACGACCGCATACAACAGGTCATGCTGCCCATAGGGTTAATGATAGAAATACCTGTATGTAAATTTTATTTTGTGTAAAGCATTTTTATAGTGCAATATGTATGTTATTTTTGAAGGATTTTAAATTATAAATTAAAATTTGTAAGTGTCTTCTTTCTTTTGTGTACACTATTTCTATAATTTTACTCGAGGATAAAAGGTAAAAAATATTTTGTTTAACTTTATGATGTTTTCTTAGTGCCTTGTTGTTTCTCAAATTAATATATGCTTTAAGAGGAAAATAATATCTACTATATTGTAATTGCCTGTATTAATGGACAAATAACTTGTTGCAAATACACTGTACATTTTTTTAAACATATTTGTAATTAATTTTATGTGTAGTGTATTTACTCAAAAATAAGGCCTCCTTTTTTTACTATATTTTTGTTCTAAAATTTGATAGGGTTTTTATAAATGAATATTTTAGTAAGTGAAACTGCAGTATGAGAGGAAGGAACCTAACTCCCATGCTATATAGAACAATTCTATTGTTTAAATTTTAAATAAATAAGAAATAATTCCCATAAAATACTCTCTTTTTCACAGTTGCTACAAGATTAACATAAACGTTTGGTATCTACGTATTACCTTGTCAATCAATTTACCCCATCAAGTAGAGCACCAATTATGGATGACTATGTCCTTTAGAATTCCACAGTAATGACTGGCAACTGACATCATTGTTAAAATTTCCGAGTTAATACGTAAATATCAAATATTCACTTAACATTTTTATTTCTTAAAATTTATTTTAAAATCTAAGGAGGGTCTTCTTAGTAAACATGACAAACCATTTTCTTGTCTTTCTTTTCTTTTTTAAAATTACTGTTGTAGTCACTATTGTGGTTGAATGAATGTGGAATGAATAATTGAAAAAAAAAAAAAAAAAAAAACTAACTTTTTTAAAAATTTATCCTAAAATTTTTATATTGTATTGTATTTTTATGTATTAAAGGGCCCATCATTGGCCAGATGGATATCTTTGAATACTGGTTGTTTGATCCAGATTCATATCTTGGCTAATAGACTAGCTGGCTGCATAGATGTTTTTATGGGTTTTTCAGATGTATAATGGAAGAATATGAGGCAATTTTCTTTTAGTACACCATCCATGACAATAGCTCTTTACTTAGAAGTGGTCTATGTGCTTTGCCATAATCACCTAATTCTGCAGTCCTAAGTTGTCTTTTTCTACAATATCACTATATTTTTAGTATGTTTACAGGAAAAAAAAAAAAAAAAAAAAACCTTCGTGTTGCCTTCATATGATTTTTTTTAGCCGTCACTTCATATGATGAAAACATTAGGCAGAACTTTAGTTAATTTCCAAGAGTAAATTATATTGGAGGCTGACAATTTTTAGTGCATAATCTCTTATTTTCAGAAATGATAAATATAGTATATTCTTGATTATCTGGGTGAAGATTATCCTCACATCGTGGTCCCTATCCACGCATATTACATATTATGTGTAAAAAATAAATTCTATATTATGTGCGAAAGTGTGTAAAAAATAAACACATATAAGTCTGAGCATGACGAAAGGTTCTTCCTAATACAGAAGTTGAACATTTGTGTAATTATGAAGAAATCAAGGTAATAACTGAAATTGTAAGCTAAAAATTTGAAAATGTAAAATTCTTTGAAAACATTGATCTGAAAAACGTCAAGGAATGGTTCGATGGTGATTCGATTGAGCCAGATTATTCAATCCTTGAATGACGCAGATATCATTTTAAATGTCACAAGAACAGAAAAGACACACAGTGATACTGGAAATACAAGCCAAGAAAATTCTGGCAATTATATTAGTCTTGAGACAGCGATGACTTCTGTTTAAACTCTATTTGATTTCTGTAAAAATTAAAAAATATTTTAACATTCTCAAAAACAAAATTGCTGATTTTTTTTTTAAAGAAATAAACACATACAGAATGCATGAAAATATGTAGTTTGGATTATCTACATTTCCCAATTATCTTTCCCGGTTTTAACCTGAGTATTCAGGAGTACACTGTATTTAATTTGTTACACATGTGCACTGATAATCATGAAGGTACCCAAATATACAAACTCTTTCTTCCCAGGTAAAAAAGAAAAAGTATAAAGAAGGGGGAAGAAAGAAAAACAAATGTTTGACTAGAACATGATGCTGTGGTAATTAGAACTTATACCATACTGATTAAAATGTTATGCGAGAAGTAAATTTTTAATGATTTTCCAGATTATATAGCTTACAGCGAAAGTAAAAATTGACTGTCTTGATCATTCTGTACAGATTTGATCTCTGATGAACAAGCTGCCAAGTATGGAGTTTTCATCATTTTCTCCATTGATGATTATGAATACGAGCTTGTTCCTTACTTTCTGTTACACAAAGAATTCCTTTCTTAGATGGTATCCCTGGCATACTTGATCATAGTTGATTAAATATTGAATATCATATAGTATTTAATTAAAATTAATTTTTTTTATTACTCAGAAATACTGACTTAAAATACTTTTTCAATGAATGTTTAACATTTTGTTTGTAATGCTATAATTTAATGTCTTTGCTTGGGTCCTTACATGAAACTAATATTAGTCATGAGAACAAATTTTCATCTTTGATATTTATAGTGGATCTCAATTTTATGCCGTAAATGTACTATTTAGCATGTACTATTTTTGTCTTTTCTGTATAACATCACTAAATGCTGATTTCTAGCATAATGTAGTTAAACATATTTATTGAGTCTAGCTGCAAATTATTAACAGTGATAATATATATATGAAGTGATTTATGGAAGCTAATTCATCAAAGGTGTTGTTAGCATTGTCAGTTCTGTAATTTCAATTATTCAAATCTTCATGATTGAATGTAATTTGAGGCTCATTCAAGTTATCTGTTTATCAATAATGCCTAACCCCCCCCCTTCCTGAGGTGGTAAAATTTAAGTGTGCCAAATTCGGTCAGTATCCTGTTAAGTGAAAATTATCTGTGCAAGGACAAATACATTATCCAATGACTTTTTTGTCCAAAGGCCAAAAATTATATAGGAGTGTACACAAAACCTGCATGCAGGTGCTCAACCCCTTTAGGAATGTATTTACAATTAAAACCAAACATCTTTACTGATTATTTCTATAGCTTAAGTAATGCTATAGAAATAATCAGTAAAGATGTTTAGTTTTAATTGTAAATACATTAATTATAATAAGCATAAGATATAATAATCAGTATCAAATCTAAGATTAGTAATTAATCAGTATAATATCATAATTAACATCTCAAGATTCACATGACCTTCAAAGGCTAAAGCTTGTTTTTTAATTTTAAAAATTTCAACTAATTATTAAGACATATTATTTAAACTGTTATTTAAACTTAGTTATAATTAATTCACTTTTGTATATCAGGTTCCAGAATGTATTTATCTGAAATGTTTTTATTTTTTAGTGTATAATATATGCCAATTATTAGAAATATGTTATTGTGTAAATCTGCTTATATCATATTTCAAGTTTGATTTTTAGTTTTTTATGTCAAAATGTATTTGTATTTTCACAAATTTCAATTAAGTATTAAAACAATTTAAAAAATCAGTATTTAATTTGACTATAATTGACTCCTAAAAATTAATTTGTGTATCAAACTGTATAATGTATTTATCTTAACACCGTTGCTATAAAATTCATTATAACCCAAATGTATTTAGGCTATAATGCAAATGTATTGTTAAGTTTCCTTAGATAAATGTTTTTATATTTAACTAAGCTTAAAACATCTCAATTCTTTCTAAATACATATTATCATTACATTTTATTGCAAATATTGCAAATAAGTACTCATTCTAATTTTATTTGCACATAAGTAAAAAAAAAAAAAAAAAAAAAATCATTTCAATTGCTTGCATTTTTAGCACTGTGTATTCATCATATATACTTATCTCTTTTTTCTTCTGATTGAGTTCATGTACATTTGCTGTATCCTTTTTTATTTTCCTCTCAATTCTAGAATGTGATTATTGTCAAAATGTGAGTGTAATTGTATGATATCAGCATGTACTTTGAAAGCACATTAAGCACAGAGAGTATTGATTTGCATTTAAAATTCTATTGTTAATTTTATTTATTTATTTTGTGTGTGTGTGCTCAGCAGGAGATTTGTGTCTATTGCATTTATCAGTCTTTTGAAATGCTATTAATGATATCTTTATAC